ACATTGATCATACTGTATCAGAGGAAATATTAGCGTGCAGGGAGCCATGATTATACTGGTAGTAATTCTCGGTGCAGAAAACTAGTAGAAGATGGAACCCTTTATAGGCCGAACTTTTATTGGCTGCAGTTATTTACCTTTAAGAATACGCCTAATACATTGTCCTATAGCTAAATATTTTTGTGAAAATTCAGACCAGCACTATCAGTAAATCAGAAATCCTGCCACCATTTTATAGGATTTATATATATTTTTCCCTGCAGATGCTCTCATATGTTCCAGAATACAAAAACCAGCCAATTGACCATGTAAAAATTCTAGAAGGCCTGTAAAACAGATTCTTCTTCTGTATTCTGAACCTGGATAGGAGCAGACAGGTTTATGGCGTGTGATTCCATCCAAATGCCACCTGTATATATAACATCTCTCTAAAGAAATTAAATGGATTATTAGATTATATGCTGTAGTAAAACTATACCCAGAGTTGCAGTCCAGGAGAAGATAGGCATGTTATGCATCTGCTTACATTTTTTTTTTTTTTTTGGTCCTGAAACACTCAAGAAAGCTTTGCAAGACAGGCTTTTTCTTTAGGGAGGAAAGAATGGAACTGATTCTTCATGCCAGCCTCTTGCTCCTTGCTCCTCAGACTGGCAGGACCTGGTAATGTGGTGCCGGTGGCAGTGGTACAGGAGGCCCTGCATGCTGAGGGAAAGTTTCACCTTCCCTCTAGATGGGCTCCAGCTAGACTTCAGAAATCATCCAGCAGGGTTCCAGGGCGCACAAGATAAGAGCTAGCCCAGCCAGACTCCTGCAGAATTAAAGGGAGAGGTGAGACCCAGGCATGTTAATCTTCCATATATCCCAATAAAGCCCTGCTGTGAAAATGACTAAAAGAAGCAAGAAGCCAGAGCAATCTCGAGGGAAGGTTCTCTGAGAGCAGTGTGTAGGAGGGCAGCATTCTTTGACTTCAGTATCTGCATAACCCATCTTACAGTTCAAAGCCCTTGTAAAAGCAAACCAGTTAAAGGCTGCAGATTCACCTGCTCTGTCTCAATGTACCTCTTCCCTAACTCTCACTGACACAAATGGAAACGATTTCTCAGAGCGAAAGGAGGCCATTCCTTTCCCTTTGTCCTAGGGCTCTTTGCTCAATGCAAATCACAGGTCTCCTGCACACATGCTCTATAAATCTAATACATTTTCTGTGTGTATGTGTGTGTGTTTATGGAGTTACATATCGATTTTAGTACTTTTGATTGGAGTTGATATTTTATTTGTTTTGATTTTTTCTCCTCCAGCAAGGAAGAAATGGAAGAGGGTGCCTCTAAGGTCTTCCCACTCTGAGAACTCTTTGAAAAGACAGGTGATTGAGGGGAAAAGCTCTCCAATAGTTAGGGATTCTAAGGTTGAGGAACAGCCTGCCACAGATGACAATCTATCTGATGTGGCTTCTGGGAAGATGGTGTGCAGTCTCCTGGTGTGCTCAGCATTGACATACAGGCCGATATGACATTGCAGTCTTCTGTTGAAGTTCTTCCCCATTGTGGAGGAGAGAGATGCTTCTGAAGCATCTTCCTATAAATGGCTGTGTTCTAGGTACTTTGTGGTAGTAGCAGTTGTTTTCAATGTTTTATTTTTATGTTTTGAGACAGGGTTTCACTCTGTGGTCCAGGCTAGAGTACAGTGGAATCATATCTCACTGCAGCCTTGAAGTTCTGGGCTCAAGTGCTTGATCCTCCTGCCTCAGCTTCCTGAGTAGCTGGGACTACAAGAGTGACAGCAAGATTTTTTTTTTTTTAAATTAAAAAAAATTTTTTTTACCTTAATTTCCTGGCAGTTGAAGAAGTGCAATTTAAAACAATAATTCCTTTAGGAGGCTAATATCGCCATTGCTAAACCTTAATAAAGATCAATGTGTAGTCATCCTTCTTCTCTCCTTCCTTTCTTTTCTTTCCTTCTTCCTTTCCTCCTTCCTTTTTTCCCCTCCCTTCCTTCTTTCCTTCCCTCCCTCCCTTCTTTCTCCCTTCATTTTTCTATTTTCCTTTTTTTCTTCTTTTTGAATCCTTCTTATTTCTCTTCAATGACTTAGAAATTATCTTAATTAACTTCTCAGAGCAATTCTGCAGCAGTGAACATGTTCAGGGTCACAGATGTCTTTTCTCCAGTATTTACTGGTCAAGTGCAGCTCTCATTTATGCTGTGTGTGTAGTGTACACACCATCCCATTTATGTCTGTGAAAATAACCAGGTGTGCTTAGGAGGGCCAGAGAGACCTTGGAGAATAGACTTACTATCATTTTAGTAAAATTAAAATACAAGAAAATAACAATAACAGGACAGACTTACGACTTTGCTTAGTAGATAAACAGAGTGCATTTTGCTTTACTTGGCATCTAGCTTGAATTATTGACTTGCATATTGCCAAATAAAAAATATAGACAATTTTGGACAACAAAGAGTATTTGATTCTAATATAAAACATTTTATATTTCAAAATGAGATACACTTGTAATTATCTCTACAACCACTGGATGTCACTATTGCATACATCAGGCAGTTAAAAACTTCCTATCTAGAGAGAATCTGAAACTTACTTTAAGAGCTGTCAGTTGCCGCCCTGGTGCACTACCTTTTAATGGAACATGCACTGTTGTGCTAAGATGACTCTCCTCCCCATTCAGTGCAGCCAGCCCTATTCTCAATTATGCCACTCTACTGGGAATTCCAATTTATACAGGATGAAATTCCTCAAAGACAATTATTTTCTTCACTGTATTTAGAAGGAATATGGCACTTTATAATAGTTCTCAACATTGTGTTTTAATTATAACTAGCACATTCTGGATACCAAATGGGGTGAAGTGGAAACATAACCATAAAATAACCTAGATTTATAAAATACCCCCCAACCCCCCACCAATTGCTTACAATAGTTTCATATCTGTTTGCTCATCTGTCTTCCCAGAATCCCTGGGGGTTACCTGCTTTAAAACTTTTATGAGTCAAAGTTGACTTGTGAAATAAACTGAATGAAGTAATTATTTACACTGGCATCCCAGGAGTAAAGCAAAAGTAAACACTGAAAGTGTGTTCCAGACAGCTAACTCCAGTTTGCAAAAGTTACTAGTTCAGATTTTGGTAGTTCTGCGGTTTTTCAATTACTAAAAAAAATTCTGTAATTCATCGACCCTTTAACTCTTCTTTTAAAGATTCATTTAAAAAAAAATCTGGGCCATTTTGTGAGGCTGACATGATAGAGAAATTAGATCTTTCCAAGCTGAAAAAAGCTGGCCCAGTTCAAGTGCTAGTTAGAGGAGGACCAGTAAAAGGTCCCGGTGAAGGAACTGGAACAATGGTTTGCTATCCCTATAGTTAGAAATGGCCATGAGCTTCCAAAGAGCTATCCAGTTTAGTTTTTCTTTTTACTAAAACCTTGGAGTCATTTTCTTCAACTTCCTCCTGTGCCTTTGGAGCTTTGGGGAAGCCAGAGCTGTTCTTGGAGGACTACTGGCCTAGATTTAGTGGGGGAGGGGAGGTACTTCTCTGTTCTAGTGAATTATCAGAGAGCTGTGTTGCTTGCCATCTATGGGATGCTTTGATCCAAAATTTCAGTCATTGTTTCCACATTTAGGGGCTGGAATGAACATCAAAGAAGTGGGTGTACGGAATTTACTGAATGCCAAAGAAGTACAATAACATACAGAGGATATAAGCAAATCCCAGTGGTAAAACTTGCTGCCAATTCTTGCACATAATAGAGGCCCTAAAGTGACAGTCTATCTTTGACAAATACATAATGATATCAATGCCAAGGGAAGGAACTAGCATGCTGAAAGGTGAATAAAAGAGTTGGGAACAATTCAGTGGACTTACACATTTCCTCAGTGTGTTTTCACACAACAAGGAAAGCAGATGACACAAATGCATGAGGTAATCATCAGACAGGGCTGCAAACTCACCAGCCGTTTTAAACCAACCTGGCTCTTTCAGGATTCAGCTCTAAAGATGAGAATAAAATGTGATTAGAAATCATTCATCTTCCGGAGGAAAAAAATGGAACAAGGAAAGCGAAAATAGCTCTCTTGTTCTGTCTTGGATAGTTCCAGATTTTAGAGCCCATATGTTGTTTGCTATAACTTCCTCGCCTCCCAGGGCCAATGCATTCCAAACGCTTCAGCTAGTGCACTGCACTGAGTAGTCTCGGAAGTTAGGGCTCATTTGTATCCATAGTCTTTGTTCAAATATGGCTTAATTTTGGCTAATTTCAGTGGATGTACATAAAGTAAAATGCACAGAACTGAAACTACTGAAATCAGGCCATTGTGTGATCATCTAAAAATCTACTTTTCAAGCTCCTTTAAATTTTATTTTTGAAATAAAAACAATAAAATGACAGTAAAAAGTTTCCAAAAGCATTGACATTATGAGCAATTGCTAACCAAGGCTATTCCCAGAATGATTGAGCAAATTTGGATATAATTCTAGAAAAGATAACTGCCCTGCAGTGTCAGCTATAAATACTTCATTTAGAAGGTGATTTCATAATGATCCGATGGAATGTGTCTCTTGCTTCCAGTGCTGGGTATCCATGTGATGCATATTACGCTGTTGTCACTAGGGCTAGCATTAGAAGGCAAAGGCAGATTCTTTTCCTCAAGCTTCAATCTTTATACTATGGAGATGAATGTATAAGACCTGCTGTAGGTTATTTTAAAAAGCCAGACTGGGTTTAGATATTTAGAGAGAGGAGTCTCAAAAATGCCATAGTACATGGAAATAGCCTAGAAGGTTCATGGGCACAGTCTAGTATTAAATCAGGTTTAAGCAAGATCAAGATGTGTATATTTATTTTCAACTCTACTTGCTTGAGCCAGAAATTGTGCCAGTTACAAATCGAGCCAGCATTTTTGTCCTTGGCTTTAAACAATTAGAGCAGATTTGCTTGTATACACCAAAATCATTTCCAACACAGCCCCCACAGTTCTTTGTGCTTCTTACAGAATTTCCTCTATGGCCTTGCACTGCCTAATAAAGGAGCTCTTGGAAGGATCCTGTTCTGTTTATGGTGCATGTTAAGTACATGCAATGATTTTCATTATTTCAAACTCCATAATGAAATGACTGAGTGCCCAGCAACATTAGATGATGGACAAACATCTATTCAACTGGCTGGATGAACCATGGCTTTCTGGCATTAAAAGTGTAATAGGTATGACTTAATTTAATCATAGAAGAACATATTGAGTAGGGTGACTGAGTAAAATGATGACTGTGTATTATGTTTTTGCCATGCAGCTGGATAAACATATTCGACGACAGACCTTGGCAAGAACTGCAAAGATGCTCTTGACAATGGCATGAATAAATATTAGGTGTTATCTAGAATTCACTGCATTTGAGGCCTTGAGCAAAGCCAGGTAAGTTTTAACACACACACACACACAAATCATAGCAGAAGCCGTGTATGCACACTGGGATTATGTGAGCACTGGAGTCTTTTTCTGCTGCCCAGGGATTGCTCTAACACTCATTCTCATCTACAGCACTGAGAGATTTTCTAACTCATTACCTTTGCCTGCACTGCTAGGAGTGCATTTTAGTATAAGACCCAGGTTTTTAGAATCTCTTAGTAAATTTTTCAATGACATGAACTCAGAGAGAAAAAAAAAAATACTTTGCCTAGGCTACAGAGAGCTAACAAAAAAAGATTATATTTTGGAGGGACCCAACCCAATCCTTGTAAACAGTAAATTTAAAAATTGCTTTGAATTCGTTCTTGAATTTCTCTAGAAGACATAGTTTCTAACTACAAAAAGGACCATAAGGAAAGACAGTTTTTTGGAAGATATTTCTGAGTGAAGTTTCAGCAAGATTGATAGTCAATGCAGGATTTGTATCCAGGGCAGTAAGAATCAGTGTGCAAAGAGTTTCACAGAAGTGTGCCATTATGGTTTTTTTTTTCTTTCCTACTCAGAATTGTCATTTTATCAATAAGGAAAATTTCTTATTAAGGTATTTGTTTTCATCTGTTGGAGCATGCACACAGTCTCTAGAAGATGAGAAGGAAGACAGGGAGGAGAAAGAACAATAACTATTTTCTCTGAGCTGGTTTATGTGCCACAGGTTTCTCCTAAATCAGTGAGTCTCTTATATTATTCTCTATTTTGGTATTGCCTCAGCACTAAAATATGAGGAAAGAATGTGTTAAAGAAGTTATCAGAGTTTACTAGGAAAAAGCACTCATGCTGGCACGAGTATTCTGGAGTCTAGTCTCAGCTGTGTGACCTTGGGTAAGTCACTTTACCTCTCTGAACAACAGTTTTCAATCCATAAATTATAATAACATCTGTTTGCCTATTCTTAAGAGTCTAGTTGTGAGAAGAAAACTAGATAACTAATCTAAGCCTTTTCTTTCTTTCCTTTTTTTTTTGAAATGGAGTTTTGTTCTTATTGCTCAGGCTGGAGGGCAATGGTGCAATCTTGGCTCACTGCAACCTCCGCTTCCCGGTTTCAAGCAGTTCTCCTGTCTCAGCTTTCTCAGTAGGATTACAGGTGCCCGCCACTATGCCCAGCTAAATTTTTTTGGTATTTTTAGTAGAGACAGGGTTTCACCATGTTGGCCAGGCTGGTCCTGAACTCCTGACCTCAGGTGATCTGCCCACCTCAGCCTCCCGAAGTGCTGGGAATACAGGCATGAGCCACCACACCCGGCCTGGTTTATTATTAAACAACAATGCATTTAATTTAAACTGCTTTGTTCCAGAAAGAATTTCAGTTGCACATAGAGAAGCTAAAATGAAAATTTAAGATATTACTATGACTACTTGTACTAATACTACACAATAGTAAAGCAAATACGATGACCTATGAGCTTAATTTTTTCTTATTTTTTTTGAAAAGACCTTTCAAAATATTTTTAAGAGGAAATCTAGCTCACTTCCCAACTACTTTGTCTTCTTGGTCTCCTTCTTAATTACACACATTCCACCTCAACACGTATTTAACAGACAAGTATCTGGAGTGCTTAAACCAGATAGAAGTAGCAAGAGGGATGTTTTGGAGGTAGAATTTTCATAACGTGGTGATGGATTGGATACGGAAAAGTGAGAAAGACAAGGTGTCAAAGATGACGCCCAGATTTCTTATATAGAAAACCGAAGGAGGACACAATTTGAAGAAATAATCAGGAATTCTGCTTTGGATAAATTCAATTTGAGATGACTATGAAACACAGGAAAAAATCTGGTAAATAGATCATAAACGCAGCTATAACGGCAAAAGAGCACTGGGCTTGAAGGAAAAGGACTTCAGTTAAGGTCCTGATTCTGCGTAACCTCAAGAAGGGATGTATTCTTCCTGCATTTTAGTTTCCTTATAAGTAAAATAGAGATAGTATCTATCTTATCACCTTGTTAGGAGGATACAATAACAATTTTTGAAGGTATTTTATAAGTTACTTTATTTCTTGTTTTATAACAGAGATGTAAGAAATAGCACCAAGAAACAGGGTGGACTCCTTTACCTTACTGCTCCCAGCTGCTTTGGGAGCCTTGGGCTACTGTGTAAACATGGCCAAGTCCAAGAACCACGCTACGCATCACTAGTCCTGAAAATGGAACAGAAATGGCATCAAGTAACCCCTATGTCAAAGGTGTAAATCTCTTAAGAGGGTGGGCCCCAAGTTCCTGAGGAACATGCACTTTGCTAAGAAGCACAAGAAGGGCCGGAAGAGGCAGGTCAACGATACCAGGGCCGCGAGTGCACCAACTGAGGCTGCCAGGGCCCTTGTGAAATCCAAGGAGGTCAAGTCCAAGATCCCGCAGGGCTTTTGGTGCAACACTCAGTCAACTTTCCTGCACTGATCGCCCCAAGCTCAGGTAGTGTGCTCATCCCTGCATCATCAAGAGTTTTCAGGCTCTGCTGGCCAAAGTCAAAGCCCGGGGCTCAAACCGAGCACCAGGATGTGGCTGCATCTCCAGCTCAGGCTCCCAAATGTGCCCAGGGCCCTACCAAAGCCTGAGAGCAATGTGACGGTAGAAGGACTGCTGTAGGACTGGTGTGGCCTCACAGCTGCCATCTGCCTGTGGCTGGAGACCTCCTGTGTTGTTTGTACAAGCTGGAACTTTCTCTCCTGGAAATATCTCCACTCAATAGTAAGTGTCTTTATTTTCTTGGCATTTCACTAGCACAGCTTGAGTCTTGGGCAGCATTGCCTTGGCCTTCTCCTTTGGATTCTCCACCTTTAGGGTAGACCTACAACCATGACTGCATCTAGAAGGATGCACAGGGTTAATGTGAAGAAGGCTTCCCTGTGATTCATAATTCATTAGGGTGAAGTTCCCAAGGGCAGGAATCATGGTGCTGGAATGATATGGGCTTCCAGTGAATACTAATTGATTGGGATTCAGCATTACCATTTTACTACTGGGTTTCAAATTTGTGGGAAGAAGAAAATATTTTAGTCAATCGGTTGGAAGGGGAAACATCTCCCTCACTGCTCACCTGGGTTTGAAACTATCCTCTGTGCCTACAGAGTCAAGCACCAGCTTGTCCACAGAACCTGATGCAGGACAGAGGCCATGGAAACGTGAGGTAGGGAGCCAGTCCCCACTGCTATCACCATTTATGTTTCCCCAGAGTGAACTCCTTAACCCCCGCTACAATCATACACGGAAAATCTGTATATGATTAACTATTTTTTGACCACCTCAAGGCCAAGCAGGAAATCTGGCTGCCAACAATAGTAGGGGTAGCTCTGACTGTTGCAGAGATTATTGGAGAAAGCAGAAAGTAGCTCTCTTTCCATAGAGTCTAAGACGGCTCATTCTTAGAGGAATAGGGTGAATAGCCTCTCTATTATATTGTAAAATATAGACTTTAGAAAACTCAAACATTTTTTAAAATCCTAATGATGCAGGAAGAACATGGAAATATCTGAAATGCTTCTCAGTCTTCTATCTTTTTGGGGAGAGTAAGCTAATAGATAAATGACTTGGTTTTGGATAATGTCTATGCAGTAATGCAAGTTTAGTTTTGTTGTCTTTTGATTCTTATATATTTTTTGTCTCTGTTTCATGCCTGAGAATTTCCAAATGTGCAACACAGAGTCAAACATTAGTCAAACTATCTATCTCTGTATTTTCTAAAATTGAATGCTGTTTCTGTGCTAATTTTCCAGATATGCTCCATGACCAATATCTGGACACAAACTCCTATTTCCTGGGTATTAAATTTCTTTAATTACTGTCTCCAGTATATTTGGAATATCTAATATATCTAGTATTTTTGGCATGATGTTTTAAAATACCCTAAGAAGGGGTCAGTCAGTAAATTTTCAGGGCTATACAAGGAATCACTGTAAACAGATTTGGATGCTATACTTCTCTGTACATGTGTAGGTTAGAATATACATCATTTCAAGGAGAAAGAAATACTATTTGTTATTTTGAAGCTGATAATAAGTCTATATAAGCCTTCTTAGACTCTGTGTAAAGAGAGGGACTTTCTGCCCCTTCTCATAAATGCATGCTGCAAGGATAAAGCATTTAGGACAGAATCTGGATCACAGTTAACTCCTATATAAGTCCTAGCTGTATCTTCATCTTCTACTACTATTACTTCTACTGCTGCTGCTGGTATTGAAAAGCCTAAGAGTTATGCTGTGACTAGGAGTCAGCTGACTGGTTTTGTTAGATCTACCTTGCCCTGGAATAAACCAAATACATGTGCAGTAGATTCAGTGTTTGCTCCTCACCTTTGACAGACTCTTTGGAAGGCCATTTTTGTGGGTCACATTTTTCCCATCGCTGTCGTCTTAGAACTGTTGAGTATCAGGCAAAGCCCTGGGATGCAGCATACTCTGGGACCATCACTCTACAGCAGTGTTTCTCAAACTATCTGTAGGGAAGGATCCGTTCCACTTTTTACTTCCAATCAGTCAGACTGCTATTTGGCAAAATGTATAAAAGGAACTTAAAGTGAAATAAAAAACCAATACATATAAAACTCAAGTCCCTTTCCAAAATTTTAAGATTCAACATACACAAATGCTTGCTACCAGTGGCTCTGAACAGTTCTAAATGCCTCCTCTCAACTCCCTACTTATCTCCAAACAGCATCCCACAGATGATGACGTTCCACTCAACATGAGGCCCACCGTCCGTCAAGAACAGTGAAGAACCCAAAGCCCCTTCATTTCCATACTGGTTTCCTTCCATAGCAGTCTCATCAAAGCAGGGGACGCCATGGGCCAGCAGGTCTCAACTCTAGATTGGAGTGGTTAAAGCCCTGGTGTGAAGCTGGTATACTGGAGGCTCAGTGTACACTCAGGCCACCAGTGAAAGCTGCCCCTGTCTGGCTGCTGGCCATCCACATAACTGGGAATTCATACACAGCTAAGCAGTAGTCTGTTTAGTGCAGACACACAGGTGTGGAAACAGTTTGTGACAGGCAGGTTTATGGCAAATAAACACATTGTATGATATACTGTAATCAACTATATAAACAACTTTAAAATTGTCTATACTTCATATTTCCAGCATTTGGCTTTGTTAATCATATGTCTTCCTGACAGCAATTAAATAACCTTGAGAGAAAATGTACACCTGCTGTCTCCCCTGGGGAAACTACATCTCTTTTGTGAATGACATAAGTTCTCCATAAAACATAACTGAAGCTAGGAGAATTGAATTTGGAGATATGCCTTCTTTCTCTCTTGTTTTATCTCTAGTCGAACTGGAGTGCATGTTAATATAGCTAATCTTTTTCTAGATCCTTATTCTGAGCTTTAATTTAGACCAAACTATTTCCCCAAGGGGCAAATTGGAGACATTGGATAATAAATAAGGTTGTAATGACCACCACAAGTACCATCACCAGCTCACTGGGCATGCACCTTCACCCTCCCCAACTTCTTCTAATTCTTTCTGATTTCCACAACAGATTCCATCTGCTTCCACGAACATGCTAGTGCTGCTTTCCTTAAAGCATGACAAACAAAGTTTGTTTGCTTGGCTGAGATCCAAACAAGATTCATTCATTAGGATTAATTAGACATATCTGTTATTTTGCAGGTTTCCAGGGCTCGCTAGATGAGGTTGCTGGCAGTGGCCCCCGTGCTGCTGCCACTGCTACTGCTGGTGCATGGAGCCACCATATGGGTGCTTTGGGCTCCAGGCAGGTACACCGTGGACTGGCCAAGGCTAGACTCCTGGCTGTTGCCACATTGGTTTGATGAGGGGAAGTTCAGGGTGTTTGTGCACTGGGGAGTGTTCTTGGTGCTGGTGACTCTCGAAATGTGCAGACAGACTCACTACCAGTGCTTAATGTACCACCACTACTCACCTGGCTTCAGTTCACAGTGGGCTTCTTCCATCTGAACACATGTGAGCCAATCTCTTCCAGGCTTTGGAAATTAAGTATGTAATCCTGACACAAAGCATCACAAACTGGCTGAGTCTCATGTCTTAGAACTTGAGTTTTAAGGATGTGGGGCCTCACCAGTTTGGTTGGTGAGTTGGAAACAACTGTCTGGAACAGAAACATACACCATAAACGCTATCACTTCTTAGAATGGTTCCATCCACTCTAGCTACTTGATTTAAAAAATGGCTTCAAAACAAAACAATGCCAGGGCTATGTGATCTTGTTAACAGGCACGAGTCTGATATGGTTTGATCTAATAGAGTGAGAATATCCTGATTCTTATTAGAACTTGGCTCTACAATGATAGCTCTATCAGGGAGGAGGTGGGAGTAAATGACCAATGGGGTCTGAAATGCTCCTGTCACCATGGAGACTACTACAACTGTCAAGAGAAACTTAAGCCAGGGAAGTTGCAAGACCACAAGTGAGAGATGTGCACCACCATTGACAAGAAATTCTGGGGTGATGGTTGCAACATGGCAATGTCTGACTTTGCAACTGAATCTGAAACGGTTTTGGAACTGCTTCAGATAGCAAGTTTAAGAGGCAACTATCTTCTCACCATTGGACCAGCTAAAGATGATCTGACTTTTCCCATCTTCCAAGAAAGGCTTCTTGCTGTTGGGAAGTAGCTGAGCATCAGTGGGGAGGCTATCTATGCCTCTAAACCATTGGAAAAGAACATGACATCTGCATGGTATACCTCTATAGGATCAGCTGTTTATGACATTTTACTGCACTGGCCAGAAAATTGATTCTTAAACCTCAAATCCCCCATAATCACCTGGACTACAAAGCACACAGTGCCAGGAAACAAGAAGATCTGAAGTGGTCCACAGGTCTTGATAAAGGCCTTTTTCTTTCTCTGCCCCAGTTATCATCCTCTGCTCTCCCAGTTGAGTTTGCTTGGCCTGTAAACTGACAGGAATGGACTGATTATTGGAGTCTAAGAGGAAAGGGGCATTGCCTGCTGTTTACTGCTTTGATTTGTCTTTTATAGTACCATCATTTTAATAAATTCACTTTTCTTCTCCACCCAGAGATGGTTTTTCCAGTACTTTTTAATCAAAGGAACTGAATATATTACACTGACGCCTCAATGGACCAAACATCTGCGCTCTCTTGCTAGCAAACCTCTCTCTGGTCAGCAAAAGAAGGGACTGAATGGAGCACTTAAGCTCCAAGTTCATCCATTCTTAACTTTGAAAATTATCTATAACAGAAGCTTTCCTCTATAATCTGTGTCTGATAACCTACTTGTTGACTCAGAGACGTTAGATAAAGAATAAGCCAAGTCACCCTGTTGCTTGTGAAGGAGGTGGAAAGGGTATGGCAAGCACAACCACACACTATTTATTTAGCATCAGTTGTCACCAACACACGCCTCCTCCCTGTTAAAGTGCAGGAGGGCCTGGAAGGAAAGGAAAACTTGCTGGGCTGCTAGTGGTCAACCGTTCAAAAGTTTCCAGCTCTGAAATCCAGTCTGTTTTTAGTGATATTATTAAGAAAATAAATATGATTCTGCTCTGCCTTTAAAATACAATCAAATAATTGTTTGCATGCCAAAAAATGTATGAGTTTCTCAACCATATCTCCCACCTCCCCCTTGCTATTTGTTTTTTAAGTTATTGTTGAAGAAACTGTCGGTCTTGGAATTTCCCACAGTTTGGAGTTTGCTGATGGCGTCCCTTTGATGTTTAATATGTTCCTCTA